ATTCTTACATTTCCGTTTTCATTTTGAAATTTTTGTTTACCAAAACATTATTATATAGCTGGATTGACCATGCAAAGGAAGATGTTTTCGCACAAAAATGCTATCTCAATGGAAAAATGCGGTAATGTATCAAACTCAGGTGGCGACTATGTGTTAAGACATTCTAAATTGCCCAGAAATGCTATAGTGTTTGTTGCAATTTAATTTAGTTTTTAATAAAGCGCCATTAAAAATTTGTAGGTCGCAAAAAGTATGTTGGTCTACAACAAGCTCCAACCCTTGGATAATTATACAGGAATTCAAACTATTGGGTCTAGTTTATAAGTAGGTGTGTCTCAGTTTATGCGAAAACTAGCCTTGAGTTAATTGACGACTGACCTTACCCTTACCTTAATATTACTGAATTCTAATTAGATACTTAATTATGCAAGCTTTTCGTAACCGCAAAAGGTAAATCAACTGAAGTGAGTGTTTATGTGCGCATCTGTGATGATGTGGGAGTGGATCAACTAACCGTATTCAATCAGTACTTTTGAGCTTGGCAGCTAGCAAATTATATGACTATCATTCTAATCTAAAGTCTGGTTTCGTTCTGAGAAAAAAACGACACTTATATTTTTTAAACGTTATGCATAAATATGCTTTAAAAACGTACATTTCTCTATCTCCCTATCTTTTCATTATTTACTTTATTAAATGGAAACCGGTAATGGAACTTTAACAGTATGGTTTGCAATATGGACAACATTTTCATTTTTATTAAATAGCATGGACTTGTTTACGCGAGAGGAAGTATTCAGGCGAAAAATTTGATCAAAAAGTTAATCAATATTTAATTTCAAAGAGGGACACCACAATAAAAGCCATCCATAGCTAGTTTGTAAATTTCTGCTCTGTAGGTTTTATTATTTTCTTAATTATCAATCAACCAAAGACCATTTCTGGGGAAGTCAAATCCCTAATGAAAATGGACCAACATTGCTATAGAAATAGAAATGCTGCACGTTTTAATGAATACGCTTACACGATCCCGTATGCATCCAAGGGCCACGAGTGATTATTCTATAACAAAAGTTTTTAACACAATTTCTGATCAGAATAGTATACATTTGAGAAAGATAGTAAGGAGAAACGTTTAAAAAATATGTTCGGAGTGGACGATTATCTTATGCAAAAAACATTTTTAGAAAATTTGGTCAACTTTCATTGGTTCAGTGAAAGCCAATAACAGTTTCTTGAAAGTTTCGTTCGAATAATGCGAAAAGCTGTAGGTTAGTGTAAAATGCAACTTGCTTAATAAAATGAAACCAGCAGAACTGCAGTTCATTTTAAATGGACAGGTATGCTTTTCAATGGTTTAATAGACATGAAAAAAGTACTCGAATGGACACAAGAGAGACAGCTTAGGGAAAGCAGCACAAGTTTAACTTTCTGAATATTCTTCCATAGTCAAAAGAGTTAAAAAAACGAAACGAACATATACATGCTTAATTTGTTCCACATTTAGATGAATTCGCAGATTTTATATTAAAAATCATGTAGTACGTAAAAAAACTAGTACGTAAAAATGGGTGGCTGGCAATAATTAATGAAAAGAAAATCGATTTTTGCATTATTTAAGCAGATAGATCTCGCAAAGACATCAAAAATAGTTTGTTTAAAAATCTTCTTAAAAACTTAAAAATCGTCTTCAACAATTGATTATCGTCCTGAATTTCGAAACCGAGATGAAGATGAAAATTATCTAGAAGAAGAGCGCTTCAAGTGCTATACCAGCAGGAATAATTTATCATTTGCAATGAAATTATTCATGAGGGAGTGAAAGGATCAATCAAGGCTCTTTAATACGCAAGACCTAACTTTGTTTCAGACAAAAAATTACAAATCCTAGGATTCTAGTAAAATCTAATTGGCAAATAAACATTGACTTAAAAATATCGAAATATTCACTTTCACAGATGAGTTAATCAAACAACGATTTACAGAAACCAAAAGCCTTTTATCACAAGAGATTCACATACATGCTTCTTAGGTTTGTAGCCCTTGCCCACAAAGAAGAATTTAAAATGTAACGTTTTTATTACAATTAGATAAAATTAATTGAATACAAATTAGAATACCAATAATTTAATACGGGCAAAAACTCGTTTATGATTACTCCGGCCTGTGAGTATAGGAATATGAAAATACTACCTACGTTGATCAGCAACTTATTTGCCAAATCTTCTTAAATTCTGAGGGATTTCAATTCAAATTTTCGTTTCTCAACATACAAGAGCTCCATGCATCCGGGCGCGGGAGCAGAGATTTTTCGTATAGCGTTGTTCAAGCCATAGTGTGTAGTAATGCAATAACAATAATTAAATAGAGAAAGGTCTAAATCAGAAAATTCATAATTAGATTAAAAATTCAAATTCAAGTGAGTGCACTAGTAAAACGAACAACCACTGCGACCTCCAACAATCGTGTCTAAATCCTCTATAGGTAAACCCAAAAAAGGAAAAGGAAAAAATTAATATTCAATCTGTAATATCTATTGTATAATTAAGTTATATTCGAATAACGCTATTCAACGATGTAGTTACAAAATTTGAAATTTAATTTTCCAAGTAAGCATAAATAATCATGCAAATACAAATATTAATAGTCAGACAAGACCGTTTATTAAAATTACGACATTCTAAACAAAATGTTGCAGAGCAGACATTTTTTATGTTCGATCAGTACAAAATTAGTGGTTTATTCTGGGTGTTAAAATGCAGAGTTTTGTTGTACGTAAATATTATTTACAGAAAAATGATGGTAATTAAAGTTTTATAGTCATACAGATTCAAGACATTTAACTAATTCAGCAAATTACGATAAAACGAATCGGTGAAACGAAGTACTTTTGAAATGAGGCTATTATAATTACAAAATCCTTACAAGCTTTACAACTTGGCAACTGTCTGGCAGTTAGTGGCGCTAGCCGATCAAAATTAGTTTTTGTTATGTGATTTATTGGAAAAAATTTCCAATTTTTTCAACAACGAAAATTTAATTTTTTTAACTCTAAATATGGTAAATTAATTTG